AATACAGTACAGAACAATACAATATATATAATATATATATATATATATATATATATATATACACACACACACAATGTTATGGTATAACGACACACTTTAATGACCCAGCACTTTAAAAAATATGTATTTGTATTTTTAACATTTGTAGAATTACTTCACATTTTAATAAAGTAGTAATTTAAATAAATGTACATTGCACAGAATCCACAGTAAACTAACATTCCTGTTATTACAAATTCAGTAAACTCTACTAGAACAGAATGACTAATTTTGTATAATTTTCATCTATAAAATACAATCTACATACTTTGATTTTTGAAGGTAGTGAAATGATGGAGAAAGAGCAGCAGTATCTTCACGACCAGGCCCAACTAATGGCCAACTATGACGATGCTCTGACAGTACTGGTTCTGAAATTGAAAGAATAAGGAATTTAAACACAAAAGTCTGCCTTTTAAAAACTAAATTATAATTTCACAGTCAAAAAACATACACTACTGTATTTGGTCTTTACCTATCTTATAGCCAGTGCATAATTAGCTACTAAACAAAACATTTTTTATATAAATGTACTGTCAATTAAGTTTGTGACATTAAACTTTTATTAACTTGAATACATACATGTATATTCTCATGCAAATTCTAAAACATGTAACTGTAACTCTCATTTGCAACCAAAACTTTTATAGTCTTAGTCAATTCTTGATATGTAAGACATACCCTTTATTGTACCATAGCCTATTAACAACCTTAGATCATTTCACAATGTATAACACCCTTTATTTTACCATTGATTACTTAAACCCCAAACAAAATCATTAACACAATCCCAGTGTTAAAAGTCAATGTATAACGGCCATATTTTTCAGGCTAAGCAATACAGTATATCTATGTCAATATAACATAACCTAACAACTAATTCAGGAGCAAACTAAAGTAAAACTGAAATAACTCTTTCAGCATGGGCTCGGTCCCTGGGACCAACCTCATAACAATTTTGTGCTTGCTATAGTTTTCATGCTATAAATTTTAAATTAGTAAACAAATGTTAACAAAATTTGGCAGATTATCAGTAAACATTACAATGCTTTCATACACAAAATATCAAATTTTTTATTAACTCTTAAGGTTTGTGAAGCAATGTTTTTCTCATGCCTTTTTTTCTTTCTACATGTTGCCTATCTATCAAGCAAAGTAATTTTCATTTTAAGATTAAAAATACTTTTATGCATCAGAAAGTTTTAAAATTTCACATGCAAAAACTAAACACATGCATTGACCATAGTTGCACAAGCAATTCCTATATGATATTTTGCATTTTTTATTCTCATATTATGTTTGCCACAAAAAAGTTTCTGTTATCCCTGATGAAACAATTCAGTCATGAAGTTTAGGGACTAAAAAACTTTTAAAGTTTGAAAAAAACACAAATGCAAAATATGCTAAAGAGAAATAACGAACTATCAGAAGTTTGTAAAAATATGCATAGTATGTCAAGCTAAAGGAATAAAAATTTCTTATCACAAGATGACCTTTAAGTACAGGTTTTAATCTAACAATAAAAAAGATCTATCTCAATTTAAAAGAAATTTCCACACAAATTGCATACAAAAACAAGCATATTTTTAAGTTTAGTCATCTATTTTCCTTCTAATGTTACAGTAAATTTAGTCCTTGTGGGAAAAAACACAACCACCACTTTTTATAACACTGGTGCTTTTTTTTCACCTAAGATTTTAACATTTTTTTGCATATATGAAGCATATCAATATGTGTACAGATTTCAGAATTGAGATCAATTTTGGAATGCAAATAACTTGCAGTGGCAATGATTACTTTTGATAGGGGTCATCATGTTTCAGAATTAAGATCAGTTTAGGAACGCAAATAACTTACAGTTGCCTTGGTTACTTTTGATACAGGTCATTTTCCTATTGTGCCACATAAATTTCATGGAAGAGGTTGATGCTGAACTATTTAGATCAGTCTACCATGTATTTTCTGTATCACTTCAACTACGTGGCAGGTTTCATGAAACCCCAAAATATACTAACCATATATTTTATAGCGGAATGATCATTGACGTGAATAATGCATGTCCTCTGGAACATATTGTAATGAGAGGCAGATATGCTAGTCATTTGAGGTTCGAATTTAAAACCAGTTACAAATGAATTTATTTAAATCCAGGTTATGCAGTCATGAGTGGAATACACACTTGAGGAAGTTTTATAGTTAGAATAAAAAATTTATTTGGAGACTCAGATACAAAACAACATATAAAACTTCATTTCAGAATATTCAAATACTCATTCAAGTCTACAGTACCAAAACTATCTTGAAAAGCTTCTAGAATAAAAGCATCAAATTCTTCATTCTGAATAAGTAACTGTTCATCGATTAAATCCTCAATAAGGTTCATTAAATCTGGTACTACAGTAAACAAATTATCAATTAAAACATTACGTGAAATACACTAAGACATAGTTCAGTTTATACAATTTCATTAATACTTCTTCTATAATATCTTTCAACAAAGCTATTACTTCCTCAATAAATCTTACTAAATCTACCAATGAGTTCTCTTTTTTAACATCATCTTATTATTCACACACATCATACATCATTTCCTAATTATGCTGTTAGACTAGAGAGGGTAGCAATAGTTACTTAGAGAGAGCTTGTAAGGCAAACGTTTGTCACATTTTCAAGAACAACCATCATCAGAACTTTAACGGATCAGGAATTCAACAGGCAGTATTTTTGTTAGAATCTGCATTTGTAGTTGGAGAACTGGTTGTAAACATGACTTTTTATTCACAACTTTGTTGTTCATATGATGATTCAACTAGCACTACATGCTTACTTTGCAAGTAGATCCTCCATCTAACTGGTTTGATTCCAATGATCTATCAATCCAAAACCAAAACTAAATGATAATTGGTTATGGTCAAAATCTGTCAACTGGCAGCCTGTCCTATAAAAGTTCCGCCAGTTGTTTTTTTTTTTACTAGGACTCACTTCCTTTAGTTGGTGTCAATAATATAAACTTTCTGTAACTTCATCTCTGCTACATTCAAATCTTTTTAATGTAGATAAGACAAACCACTGGTTTCTACTTCATACATTGTAGCTTGGAATGCATCTCAGTATTTACTTTAACATTTCCATTTCTTTATTTGGACAATCGTCTCTATAAAAGTTAGCATTTTCTTAAATTGAAAATGTATTTCCAATAATACTTCTTCTCACACTACAGCTATTATTCAACTGCCAGGGTTTCTTCCGTTGCCCATCTAAGCATTGGTCTGATTTTTCTTGCTTTCTACAGTCTTTTATACCCCACTTAATTACTCTTGGTAATATCTGTCTCATGACACTCCCCACCTATGTCAATACACCCTCTATCCTAGTATTGTATATAAGCACCTGATTCAAATAATGTTAGCACTTTAAGACTTCATCCCAGTCTCTAACAGTGGCTCTTAGTGGAGAGGAAGGACAGGAGAGTGTGAGAAAAAGCAAGTGTTATTGGAAATACATTTTCAATTTAAGAAAATGTTAACTTCCAAATCATACTCCTCCTTTCACACTACAGTTAGAATCCCACATTGAGAAGGTGGAGGAACCGGTGAGTATGTTCTTCACCCGGAACTTAATTCATGTACTGTGTGTGAAACTTTACATGATTTATTATCACTATTGTCCAGATCCCAACCAGATAGTCAAGGTTACACTGCTCAAGGTTGAAATTATAGGGCCATAGTCCCTATATTCCACATTGGTGAGAAGGGCAATTGGACCACAATATATATATATATACAATTATGAGTGGATCCCAACCTGTAGCCATAGGGTGATGCATTCTAACCACGGAATCATGATGAGAAGGTAAGATACACAGAAGTGGACAAACCTTCTCCTCAACCTGAAGAGGTCTGAAAGGCAACACCCCAGACTTTGAATGACAGAATCTTGTATGCCTTATTCAACCTGAGGAAATAGAACTTATCTGGTCTGGAATTATGAACAGTCATCTTCACTCCTCAACTGTGTGGGCAACATAAATTGCATTTGTCCCTGGAATTATGGGGAGGACGTGGAACAAACTGTGCTCAACCAAAAACCCAAGATGGGAACACTCTGCATTTAGAATTACAAGGAGACAATGGACCCTCTTCCATGAACAATATACTGAACCAATATTGATCAAAAAGAAGGGCCATGCTCAACCCTATTGGATAGCCAAGCGTCAAGTAGTCTCTCATGTATGCTGGTGCCTCTCCTACCGACATCTGGAAAACATCCAGGGACCTAGGTAGGAGGGCCCCTGACTTTGCCCTCGTCTCGAATAGTGGAGGAAATTCACTCTAACACTCTGGAGGAAAAGCCTCTGTCAACCACCCCAATGACTGGAACCAGGTATGGTAAGGACTCCCTAACTCCACTAGTAGAATCTATGTATGTGTGGGGTAATGCACATTGGGAAGTCCTGAGGAACAGTGTTCTGGAAACAGTGCAATAGGTGAACCAAGTTTCCTAAATTATTAAAAGCAAACCGAACCTTATTTATTCAATCCAATGATCAGCAGGGAAGGACAGAATCCCTTTATGATTTACTCATGATAGTCCATGAATGGCAGTCCAGCATAGTACAGTAATACCACCCAGTCAGCCTCTAGGTGGTCTTATAGAATACCTCATTTCTACAGAGCCTAGGTAAAGTATATTGAATTAGTGGTTGCTGGTGCAGAATTGATTTGATAATGGCACACCTGTCTGGGCAATAATCACCACAGAGTGGGATCCTGTGAAAATGAGGTCAGGGACCCTGAAAGGTAAAGAGACAAGCATAGCAATGAAAAGTACATAAAAATGTGATGAATCTGATTAGACATGACCCTCAGAAGATTCCTCGCCTTCAAAAAGAGCTCAGAATAAGTGATATGGAACAGTTTCGTACACACCTCATCAATGTAACCAAGGGTAAATCCTGGGAACTGAATGATCCCGATGAATACAAAATCATTGTCTAGCATCTCTAAAGGCATTAGTGCAGGCAACAATACCCTCACTGGACATAACAAACAATCGAAATCTGATTAATCATAGAAGTTAGAAACAGTGATCAGATGAATCGGTGAAAAATATTATCCTCTTACATGGCTGACAGTCTTAGGGAAGAAAGAACCAGTCTGAGGACATAGGAAGAATGATAAAGCATCCTGTGAACAATCAGCACAAACCACTCTGACTAGCAATGTCTGTAGGTCAGCAGCAAAGAAAAATAAACCTGCAGGTAAAGGTGATACATGGCATATGAAGCTAAGGTCACAAATGGGTGTTTGAGAAAGGGCATGTAATGTAACCTTAATATACCAGTTAGGTAACTGGCTGGTCATCTGAGACAAAGGACCTAAGGTGACTTGAGGAAGCCAGAGAGTAATGGGGATTCAAAGAGATTGTCTCGAGTATCGATTGGTAGTCGATAAAGCCGCTTTATACAGGGCGATCGTGAAAGATGCAAAACCCTTGCCAAAGAGTCAGGTCAAAAAATGAGTTATGGTTGCCACTTCTGATCGAAATGGGTTTAACCTCCTCTCAATGCACCATTGCCGATATGTGTGCCGTTTCCATAGGTAAATGTCCTTCACAAGACTAAGCAAAAACTGAGACAAATACATGGCAACCCTAGAAATTAAACCATGATGCAGTGATAAGGACTGCATAATCTCCATGCCTGAAGCTTGAGCTTCTGGATAACTGGGTGTACCATGTCAGATCATGGCTGCCTCCACAGAGATGGCCAAAGAGGAAGTGGAAGAGGTACCTCAGAAGCAGAAACCAGAGTGTAGCTGCCAGTCCGTTGCTATCAACAGGACCCAACAATGGATTGTAACAAATCATAGTTAGTATCTTGGGTAAAATATGAATAGAAGGGAAGTCCTAGTGTTGTAATTTCATTCAATCCTGATGGAATGCATCCATTGCCAAAGCCCAAAGGTGAGGTACTGGAGACCAAATTGCCAGTAGTTGGGTATTCCAATAAGTGGCCAACCCACCAATCATCAGTGTTTCAAAATGAGAGCCAATCCAACAGAAAACTTGGTGGAGTTCTGACCGAGCAGCGGAACCCTTGAATATGGACAGAATTTATTCTGGGTACCAATGTACCAAGGAGCTGATGTCGGGGGTCAGGACCCTCAAATAGGGGAGGAACTATGAACCAATGAAAGTCAATATGCCAATGACAACAGAGATGAATGTAGAAGCCAACAATCAAACCAATGTGCATTCTGACAATGGTTCCAGCTCATCATCAATGAAGGTGGTGATCCTGAGAGTCTTCCAACAAAGTTTAGTGTTAGGAAAACAACACGTTGAATGTTACAGTTGTAAGTCTGTAGACTTACCGCTGTCCCACCAGAGGACAGTGATCTATGCAGTTTAAATACAAATCCCACCTTAGAACCCATTAGTTCAAGGAGCAGATGTATTATTTGAGATTCAGAATATGCATCCACCTGGCAATGGTAGGCTAAATCACATAGTTCCGACAACCATGGCAGATAAGGCATAGCTGTCCAATCATATAACTGAGCAGTAAACCTCCCTGCATGAACCACAATGTCCATGGATGGAGAGAAAAACTAAATATTTGTTCCCAGACATTACAGCCATCAAGTAAGGTATAGGCTAAAAAAACAGGGGAAAAAACCCAAAATATCACACTCTCGATGGAACAACTGAAGAAAACAAGTCAGAGGCAGCTTATCCCAAAGTGGCCTCCTTTTTTATTTCTTTTAAAGACTGTTCTGATTAATGTTGTTTAGGGCATCATTTTGTCAGGAAAGTTTGTGTTGTTAGAGCAAAGCAACATTGGGATATCTGCTATGTCCACTGTAGGGAATTGAATTCTTGACTTCAGCATTGTTAGTCTGTAAATTTCCCACTGTCCTACATGAGGACTGAGAAGTCAACAGAATAAAAGAAGAAACAGGAAAAAGCAAATCTCAATTCTCTCCAGAATGTCCATGATCACCCTCAATTGAAACCTCAGAGCCCCTGGAGGAACACCAATGAACTGAATATACGCCTCCATCTCACTACAAATAAGGTCACTGACAGTCTCAACTGAGAGTGGCTCTTCCCTCCCCGATTGTTGTGCAATGCTAAATATCAGAGATGAGATAGGAAAGTCCTGATTTGCCTCTGTGCTGGAAATAATAATCCAGGAATTCATACCATATATAGGCTTGCCAATCAAGAAAAAATATTTATTTTTTTTACAAGAATTAGCTAGATAACACAAAGAATGCCTAAAGTACCTCTGAACTATCGTAGCACTGAGAAACTCGCTAGTGATGCTTTGTCGAGAAAAAGTAATAACATTATTTGAATGATGTGCTTATATACATTACCAGGATAGAGGATGCATTGATGTAGGCAAAGAGTGTCAGAAGAAAAATATCACCAAGAGCAATTAAGTTGGGTGTAAAAGATTGGAGCAAGCAAGAAAAAACCAGAACAATGCTTAGGTGGGCAAAGGGAGAAACCCTGGCAGTAATAACTGTAGTGTGAGAGGAGGTATGTTTTGAAACTTCCATTATACATTTGCTAGTGTGCATATTTTTTCTTCATTTTACATGTATGTGTCATACATGAATATTCAAGAAAAATTATATTTTTCATCCACATAATATGAAACTTTTATTTTCTGCATGTATTCATGGTGCTCTTCAAGTCTTATTAAAATTTTCACAGACTTAATGTATATTTCCTTCAAATCATAGCCACAGCCATCTTTTGAATAACAGCTCATGCTACCTTGTGTCTTTGTACACTCGTTACTTAAATGATCATAAATAAATGTTCCCTTAAAAATTACTAGTGATGCTACAAAACAGGACAAATGAATTTTCACAGAAACAAATCTCCATGTTTCACCATAAATAGCAAAATATTAGTTTGTCAAGAAATTAATGTCACGTTTTGGCACATTTTCATTAACCACCCCCCAAAAAATATATATCATGTATAATAGTTAAATGAACCACCTAAATGTCATGTTAGTGTAGCCTATATAATGTGTAAAATTTAGTATACTCTAATCATATATAGTGATGACACACGATGAGACACACATTCGGCATGAAATGCTGTTTGAATACAAGAAGGGAAACAACGCCTCTGTAGCCATAAAGAATATCAAAGAAGTTTATGGAAATGTGTTGAATGTTTATGTCAACGATGGTTCAGCAAATTTCGTTCAGGTGACTTTATCCTTTAAAAACTGTGATGGCAGGGGCCTACATGTTGGAATTGATATTGATGCTCTGAAGACACTATTTGAGTCTAACCCAAGGC